GAGGTCATTATATAAAGTGAAATAAGCCAGGCACAGAAACGGAAACTTCACATGTTCTCACTTATTTGTGGGATCTAAAAATTAAAACAACTGAATTCATGGACAATCATAGACAGAAAAATGGCTACCAGAGGCTGGGAAGGGTAGTGAGTGGTGTGGGGGAAGTGAGGATTGTTAATGGGTATAAAAATACAGTTAGATAATCAGTAAGACATAGTATTTGATAGCACAACAGGGCCTACAGTCAATAATTCATTGTACATTTTAAAATAACCAAAAGACAGCTAGGCGTGGTGGCTCATATCTATAATCCAGCACTTTGGGAGGCCAAGGTGGGCAGATCACTTGAGGTCAGGAGTTCGAGATCAGCCTGGCCAACATGGTGAAATCCTGTCTCTACTAAAAATACAAAATTTAGCCAGGCATGGTGGCGGGCACCTGTAATCCCAGCTACTCAGGAGTCTGAGGCAGAGAATTGCTTGAACCAAGGAGGCAGAGGTTGCAGTGAGCTGAGATCATCCCACTGTACTCCAGCCTGGGTGACAAAGCAAGACTCCATCTCAAAATAAAATAAAATAAAATAAAATAAAATAACAAAAATAATGTAACTGGACTGTTTGTTAACACAAAGAATGGATAAATGCTTGAGGTGATGGATATCCCATTTACCTTGATGGGATTATTATACATTATATGCCTATATCAAAATAGCTCATGTACCTCATAAATATCTATGTCTACTATGTACCCAGAAGAATTAAAAATAAAAATAAATTTGTAAAGATAAATCAAGCAGTTCAAAAGAACAGTTCCATTAGAACTTTGTGCAGAATGACTTTAGAGTATAAATGTATGTGGGAATACATGATAACTTTACAATATTCACCCTTCCATCCTAGAATCATACCTTTCTTTTAATTTAGTCAATTATTATTTTCTATCTCTACAAAAGGATTAAAGTTTCCTGCATTAGGTCATTTAGAATTTTTGTTTTGGTTATTTCTAAGCATTTCATAGGGTTGTATTGCTCATATGATTATGAATTTTGAATACAGCTACCATTTCTCACGGCTAAAAACCTTCAGTTCCTTCCATTTATCCTTATTTTTAGAGACCACGGTTTTCTCTTATATCCTGTCACCATTTCTAGATGGACTCCTAGTCACTCGTCTCTAGTTAATAAAACCCAAATCCCTCTAGACTGATTCTGATTGTCCTGGAGTAGAATTAGCTCTCCTTCTCTGGAAACAATACTCTTTTTTGGCGGGGGGAGAGGAAGTCTCCCTCTGTCGCCCAGGCTGGAGTGCGTTGGCACGATCTCTGCTTACGGCAACCTCCGCCTCCCAGGTTCAAGCAACTATCCTGCCTCAGCCTCCCGAGTAGCTGGGATTACAGGCATGCGCCACCATGCCCAGCTAATTTTTGTATTTTCAGTAGAGATGAGGTTTCACCATGTTAGCTAGGCTGGTCTCAAACTCCTGACCTCAGGTGATCCACCCTCCTTGGCCTCCCAAAGTGCTGGGATTACAGGTGTGAGCCACCACGCCTGGCCAGAAACAATAATCTTTATATTACTTAGAACTGTGTCACCATCTTTGGCAACTCTATCATTCTGATAACTTATTTTGGCAATGAATTCCGTATTGTTAGTAGCCTGCTTCTAAGGAAGAAATTCACTTCCAAGCGAAGGAAATGAGACAAAAGGTTGATGCCTAAAGGGATTGCCTGTCCTTATCCATGCCGTATGAACCACAACTATGCTAAACCTAAAATATAAATAAATAAAGTGAGTGAGCTATTTACTGAAAAGTGTTATGGCATAAGCTGGGGAACACCACTTTCTGAGTCTACAATGCTTTCTTACGGCATATGGGATATGCTCTGAACCATAGACGGTACTTGCCTACACCGAGTACCAGATGGAACGCATGCATTTGGGAACAAAGAAGCTTTTTAAGAAGTTTTTGCTTTCAACCTTTGTGACTGTAAGTGTTGTTAAATGGAAGATCTTAGAAATAAGAAAGGGACAATTCTACTAGGGACAGGAGCCACCTAGCTACTTAATTAACATTTTTTATATCACTACAGCAAAACACAGAGCAGCATACAGAGTGCTGACTAAATCTATGATTGACCTGAATTATCCAGAAGAAATAAGGTTACTTTTAAAAAGGAGTATGATTAACACCTAGAGGTATTAATTTCTATCACTAGGCATGGCAAAGTGACCTCTAAAGAAAGTCCAGTCAAGGAATTAATAAAAAATGACCTAGGCCAGGCGCAGTGGCTCATGCCTGTAATCCCAGCACTTTGGGAGGCCAAGGTGGGCGGATCACGAGGTCAAGAGATGGAGATCATCCTGGCCAACATGGTGAAACTCCATCTCTACTAAAAATACAAAAATTAGCTGGGCATGGTGGTGCACACTTACAGTCCCAGCTACTTGGGAGGCTGAGACAGGAGAATCCTTGAACCTGGGAGGTGCAGGTTGTAGTGAGCCAAGATCACGCCACTGCACTCCAGCCTGGAGATGGAGCGAGACTCCGTCTCAAAAAAAAAAAAAAAAAAATGACCTCAACCTTAGTCTGAGACAACTTAGGAATATTTGTACCACTCTATCAGGCAAAAAGAAAAAAGAAAAAAAAAAAAAAAAAGCTGTAGCCTCCAATTCTATTTGGTCATTGCTGTAGTTATTGTTAGAATCTGATTTATTAATTTTCTTTCTCCATCGGTGTATATGAAGTTTGACAGCAATGGCTGAATCTGCCACGCAGCTCACAGGTTGGAGAAAATTAACAGCAACGATTGGACAAAATTACAATGGACCCAGAGCAGAAATGACTATCACATGGAGATGGATCTGAGACAAATAAAGAACTTTTTGAAGTTTTTTGAAGTCCTCAAAAACTTTGTTTGGATGTAGTAGTCTTAAGGTTACACTGGACTGCCTGTCTAGGGGAAGAAGTGAATACATAGCAAATAATGGCTGCTTCCGGGAAAGGAAAAAAGCACTAGAAAGGGGTAGAGGAACCTGTTAATTCAGAGTAATGGGTAAGCAGTCATGTAGTTAACATGCAATTCTTTGTACCTTAAAATGTTTTGTACCAAAAAAAAAAAAAAAAACCTCATAAAATTTTACTTTTGACCCACAGTGTTGAAAATAATAATTAGTAAACTAAATAATATTAATCCTTTGATAAAAAGTTTATATGAACCATAAATCATAGCCTCTATAAATTGATCCATTTGAGGACCGCAGAGGTTTAAAACATGCTTTTTTTTTTTTTGGAGACGGAGTCTCTCTCTATCGCCTAGACTGGAGTGCAGTGGCGCAATCTCGATTCACTGCAAGCTCCACCTCCCGGGTTCATGCCATTCTCCTGCCTCAGCCTCCCAAGTAGCTGGGACTACAGGCGCCCGCCAAAATGCCCGGCTATTTTGTGTGTGTGTGTGTATTTTTAGTACAGATGAAGTTTCATCGTGTTAGCCAAGATGGTCTTGATCTCCTGACCTCATGATCTGCCCGCCTCAGCCTCCCAAAGTGCTGGGATTACAGGTGTGAGCTACTGCATGCTGCTTTTACAGCTGTTTCTTCTCTTGTGTTTCTGCCACTACCATGAGAACACCACACTCTAGGATAGTTATTGACCCATTAGCCTGAGTCTCAGAAAGAAGTATCCGGAACAGACCCAAACCATTTCCGCAGCTTACAGCCAGCCCAGCCAAAGTCCAATTGACCCATAAGCCTGTGAGTAAGAAAAACAAATGTCTGCTGTTACAAACCATGGAGATTTTTTAGGTTGTTTGTTATACTGTATCACTGTAACAACAGGTAACCAACACATAAGGATGTTCTTTGTGATGATTTATTAAACTATACATATATATATATTTGGTATGCTTTAATTTCACAAGAAGAATGTTCAAGAATTATAACCATCTTAGTATATAAATGCACTTATTTAAATTCAATGCAACTTAAATGCTGAACCAAACATTTTTCTTTACATTTAGGTATATTCTATCTATATGTGTAGATGGACAACTTTTTTGTGTAAGTAGAGAAACTTAAAATGTACTTTGAGTATATTTGTCCAAAATAGTAAATATTTTAAAAATTAGTAAAGTTTCCATCTTCATTTGAGGAAGAATGGAAACTTAATTGTTAATTTTCCTGCTAGTTACTCAAAAAAGAAAATAACATACAATTTGCTCTAATTCTAAATGTTATATGGTAAAAGTACTATCAAAATATCACTGAAACTATAGCATATAAAACACTCTAAATGTTCACCTTATGGTAAAGACTGCTACCTATTCACCAACATCCATTTCTTCTTCATTTTGGAAAACACACCTAAACTACATTCCTGAAAGTGATTTGGGTTACTTCCAGACCTGGCCTGTAAACATCTCCTATATATGCTCCTCCATGCTTTCTGTTCCTTCCAGCTGACCATGAAGGTAAATCCAACATAACCTTGGGTTACGTATTTTAAAGACAACAGAGCAAGAAGTCAACCTGGGTCTCTGGTGATTGCTTTATAAGCAAGAGATAAACTGCTATTGTGTTTGCACTATCACATGCTTATGCATCTATTTGTTATAGTATTTAGTATATACATACTCTATATACACACTATATAGTAATAACATTACTATAATACAAGATAATTTATCTGCCCTTTTAAAAGCAGACCTCCATTACTTTCAAGTTGTTATGAACTCCTTGCATTTTTATTGCAAATATGAGACAAAAATAAGTTTTAACCACAAACGGCATGAGTTCTACATGTTAACTCTGCTAGAGATTAAGATAAAAATATAGTAAATCACATTCTGTTGACAGCTATGCAAATAAAAGACAGATATAATCATATGGACCCTAATTCTTAAATTAAAATTAGGTTTTCTGACTAGAAAGGCACAACCACAAATTTCTAACATAATTACACAAAAGAGCTGGTCTAACAATCTAAAATGAAATCACATTCTCTTACCATCTGTGCCACGAGAAAAAGTAACCTGCTGGACTGAAGATGATGAGGCAAACTTGACAGGAGCTTTGCGTAGTTTCTGGTTACCAGGCTCAGTAATTTCATGTCCACGATCTTCAGCATTAATAAAAATCTCAGATGAAAATAGGGTCTTTTCTGGACTTTCTGTTGTTATCTGAGTGACAGCATCAGATGACAGTTTTTCAGAGAAAGCAGAAAGTGGAGTCTTTATCTTCTTGGATAATCTAACCAAAAAAGAGAAAGAATACAGCAGGTTATCTCCTTGGCCTATTAGAAACTGAAATCTCTTTCCAAAAGTGGTTTCAGGGAATATTTAAGTAGCTATAGGAATATTTTGTGGACACATCAACGTCAAATGTTATTAAGGTAAAATTTCTGCAGTACCCTTTCTTTTGTTTGATACAATGTTATCACACATTTACTTTTATCTTAAAACCTACTTTTAATTTAGAATGTTAAATTATATAAGTTAGTTGAGGAAATGGTATTTTTCAGCTGAATTGAAAATACATTTTTTTAAATTACTAGATGTCCACTATAAATTAGGGGACTATGCTAAATACACACAGTGTACAAAGATAAACAAGAAACAGAGCATTCCATCAAGGAGTTCTGGGAGAACCAGGAGTTTTCAAGGTTGTAGTTATATCTTGAGATCACAGGGAATTAATATTAAAACAGAGTGGAGCAAGTAAATAACTGAATACATAAATAATTAGAAAGAAGCAGCAAATTTTGCTTAAGAAGAAGTCCAGATAACAGAGTGGATACCTCCCACCAAAGAAGGTTAAGCTTAATCTTCCCCTCCTCCTTTGTGTATGCACTGAACTGAGTGACTGGATTTCAAAACACAGAGTATAAGAAGGGAAAAATAGTAACGTATTTCCATGGTGGAGACACCTAGCAAGCACTGCCTTATCCAAGTGATCAGTTAACATCACCAGTGATGATGTGGATACTACATATGCAACCTAGGCAATGCCATTCCAGACACAGGAATGGGCAATTCCACAATGAAGACACAAAAGCAATTGCAACGAAAGCAAAAGCTAACAAATGGGATCTCATTAAATGTAAGAGCTTCTGCACAGCAAAAGCAAAATTATCAACAGAGTAAACAGACAACCTACAGAATGGAAGAAAATATTTGCAAACTATGCATCTGATAAAGGTTTAGTATCCAGCATTTATAAGCAACCTAGTGGGCAAAGGATATGAACAGACATTTTTAAAAAGATATATATGTGGCCACCACGCATAAGAAAAAAGCTCAATATCACTGATTACATAAATGCAAATCAAAACCACAATGAGATACCATTTCACACCAATCAGAATGGCTGTTATAAAAAAGTCAAAATATAACAGATGCTGTCAAGGTTGCAGAGAAAAGGGAGTAGCTGTACACTGTTTGTGGGAGTGTAAATTAGTTCAACCACTGTAGAAAGCAGTGTGGCAATTCCTCAGAGAGCTAAAGACAAAACTACCATTTGACTCAGCAATCCATTGCTGTGTACATACCCTAAGAAATATAAATCATTCTACCATAAAGACACACGCACACAAATGTTCATTATAGTACTATTCACAATAACAAATACATGAACCAACTTAAATGCTCCATAAATGACAAACTGGATAAAGAAAATGTGGTACATTTACACCATGGAATACTATGCAGCCATATAAAAGAACAAGATCATGTCTTCTGCAGAATATGGATGAAGCTGCAGGTCATTATCCTTAGCAAACTAATGCAGGAACAGAAAATCAAATACTGCATCCTCACATTTATAAGTGGGAGCTAAATGATGAGAAGTCATGGATACAGAGAGGGGAACAACAGACACTGGGGCCTACTTGAGGGTGGAGGGACGGGGGAGAGAAACAGAAAAAAAAAAACTAGTGGGTACTAGGCTTAGTACCTGGGTGGTGACATAACCTGTAAAACAAACCCCCACGACACGAGTTTACCTATAGAACAAACTGGAACATGTATCCCCTGAACCTAAAAGTTTAAAAATAAAAAAATAGGTCGGGCGCAATAGCTCATGCCTGTAATCCCAGTATTTTGGGAGGCCGAGGTGGGTGGATCACCTGAGGTCAAGCCTGGCCAACATGGTGAAACCCCGTCTCTACTAATAATACAAAAATTAGACAGGCGGGGGTGGTGCATGCCTGTAATCCCAGCTACTTGGTAGGCTGAGGCAGGAGAATCGCCTGAAATCAGGGGGCAGGGGTTTCAGTGAGCCAAGATCGCGCCATTGCTTTCCAACTTGGGCGACAAGAGCGAAACTCTGTCTTCAAAAAAATAAAAATAAAAATAAAATGAAAAAAAAAAAAGATGTTAACAACAGGAGAAGCTAAGAGAGAGGTATAAGGAACTCTATTATATGTTTATCTTTTCTGTAACTCTAAAATTACTTGAAAATAAGGCCTGGCATAGTGATTCATACCTATGATCCCAGTACTTTGGGAGGCTGAGGCAGGAGGATCACTTGAGCCCAGGAGTTAAGTGACCACCCTGGGCAATGTGGCAAGACCATCTCTACAAAACATAAAAAAAATAGGCACAGTGGCATGCGCCTATAGTCCCAGCAACTGAGGAGACTGAGACAGAAGGATTGCTTGAGACCAAAAGTTTGAGGCAGCAGTGAGCCATGACTGCACCACTGCACTCCAGAGCCAGGGTAACAGAGCAAGACCTTGTCTCTATAAGAAAAAAAAAAAAAAAAAAAAAAGAATAAAACTTTCAAAAAAATCACTTGAAAATAAAGTTTCAAGAAGAGAATAATGTTGTATTATATTAGAGTAATATCTAGAATATATCACAGAAGTAGAACTTTTGAGTCTATACTATACGCCTACCATTCACTAATTGAAAAGGACAGTTATGAGAAAAGAAACAAAAATGTCAATTCCCCTTATGAACATAAATACAAAAATCCTAAAGAAAATGTTAGACAACAAAATGTAGCACATGTGTGTGTATGCTGTGTGCTTGCTCTCATTTTACACACATATACATTTGTGTGTAGTTGAATCTCTATCATGATAGTTTACCCCAGGAATACAAGATGAGTTAACATTTGAATACAAGATGAGTTAACATTTAAAAAAAAAAAAAAAAAAAAAAACAGTCTCCAACTCCAGCGACACAGAAGACCGGTGATTTCTGCATTTTCAACTGAGGTACTGGGTCTATCCCACTGGGAGGCCGGACGATCGGTGCTGGTCAGCTGCTGCAGCTCCGACCACAGCCAGAGCTGAAGCAGGGCGAGGCATTGTTCTCACCTGGGAAGCGCAAGGGGAAGGGGAATCCCTTTCTAGCCAGGGAACTGAGACACAATGAGCTCCTGAAAACGGGTAACTCCCACCCCAATACTGCGCTTTAAGCAGACAGGCACACCAGGAGATCATATCCCACACCTGGCTGGGAGGGTCCCACACCCACGGAGCCTCCTCTTGCTAGCACAGCAGTCTGTGATCTACCAGCAAGGCAGCAGCGAGGCTAGGGGAGGGGCGCCCGCCACTGCTGAGGCTTAAGTAGGTAAACAGCTGCTGGGAAGCCTGACCATGGAGCCCACAGCAGCTCAAGGAAACTTGCCTGTCTCTGTAGACTCCACCTCTGGGGACAGGGCACAGTGAAATAATAACAACGCAGCAGAAACCTCTGCAGACGCAAACGACTCTGTCTGACAGCTTTGAAGAGAGCAGTAGATCTCCCAACATGGAGGTTGAGATCTGAGAAGGACAGACTGCTCTGCCCGGGCGGGTCCCTGACCCCTGAGTAGCCTAACTGGGAGACATCCCCACCAGGGTGATCCACTCACACCTCACACAGTGGAGTACACCCTGAGAGGAAGCTCTGTGCCAAGAATCAGACAGGTACACTCGCTGTTCAGAAATATTCTATTCTTCTGCAGCCCTGCTGCTGATACTCCAGGCAACACAGGGTCTGGAGTGGACGGTCAAGCAATTCCAACAGACCTACAGCTGAGGGTCCTGACTTAGAAGGAAAACTATCAAACAGGAAGGACACTCTACACCAAAACCCCATCAGTACATCATCACCATCACTTCAAAGACCAGAGGCAGATAAAACCACAAAGATGGGGAAAAGCAGGGCAGAAAAGCTGGAAATTCAAAAAATAAGAGCGCATCTCCCCGGCAAAGGAGCGCAGCTCATCGCCAGCAACGGATCAAAGCTGGACAGAGAATGACTTCGACGAGATGAGAGAAGAAGGCTTCAGTCCATCAAATTTCTCAGAGTTAAAGGAGGAATTACGTACTCCAGCGCAAAAGAAACTAAAAATCTTGAAAAAAAAGTGGGAAGAATTGATGCATAGAGTAATTAATGCAGAGAAGGTCATAAACTAAATGAAAGAGATGAAAACCATGACATGAGAAATACGTGATAAATGCACAAGCTTCAGTAACTGACTCGATCAACTGGAAGAAAGAGTATCAGCGATTGAGGATCAAATGAATGAAATGAAGCAAGAAGTGAAACCAAGAAAAAGAAGAAAAGAAATGAACAAAGCCTGCAAGAAGTAAGGGATTATGTAAAAAGACCAAATCTACGTCTGATTGGGGTGCCTGAAAGTGAGGGGGGAAAATGGAACCAAGTTGGAAAACACTCTTCAAGATATCATCCAGGAGAACTTCCCCAACCTAGTAGGCAGGCCAACATTCAAATCCAGGAAATACAGAGAACGCTACAAAGATACTTCCCAGAAGAGCAACTCCAAGACACGTAATTGCCAGATTCACCAAAGTTGAAATGAAGGAAAAAATCTTAAGGGCAGCCAGAGAGAAAGGTCGGGTTACCCATAAAAGGAAGCCCATCAGACTAACAGCAGATCTCTCGGCAGAAACTCTACAAGCCAGAAGAGAGTGGAGACCAATATTCAACATTCTTAAATGTAAACTAGTTCAACCATTATGGAAAACAGTATGGTGATTCCTCAAGGATCTAGAACTAGATGTACCATATGACCCAGCCATCCCATTACCGGGTATATACCCAAAGGATTAGTAAATTATGCTGCTATAAAGACACATGCACACGTATGTTTATTGCAGCACTATTCACAATAGCAAAGACTTGGAATCAACCCAAATGTCCATCAGTGACAGATTGGATAAGAAAATGTGTGCCATATACACCATGGAATACTATGCAGCCATAAAAAAGGATGAGTTTGTGTCCTTTGTAGGGACA